GTATGGTTAGCGGGAGCCGTCTTTCCTGTCAGGAGACGTTTCCTCTTACGGCTAAAGCTTTCTCCCCAAAGACGGCTCGCTTCTCTTATGGAGAATAATGTAGGAACAGTGCTCTGCTGCCCTCTAGTGGAACTGACAGTGATTGCGGTCTTTAATAGCCGGGACAGTACCCACCTCTCCAGTCCCGCCGCAGAACACAAAAGAGCAAAAGTCCAAGTTCAAGATTTTTTCTTTGCCGTATACAACAAGTGTAGCGGAATGCTTACTCGTTCAGCTGTTCCCAGTAACAGTTTGTTCCGGAATGGCTGTGATCCTAAGTGACGGATTGGGATTTATTGTTACAGCGGATGGTGTGGCTCTGACAGTTTAATGTTAAACCACATCGTGTGAGTTCATACTTGAGCTCCGGTGTCCGACGTCCGTCGAATCCCACGTCTGATACAGAGCTTTTCTTAACTTTTATAAATATATATAAATATCAACTTAACCACGAGGAGAGCGGGTTGGAGTGGAAATAATACGGGAACGAGCCCATGTCAGTCCGGGAGAAAGTGGGGTCGTGTTTGTAGTTGCGGCTGAGTGTTTAAGGCGGTTGACTAGAAATCCACCGGTGTCTCTCCGTGGGAATCCTGCCGACTGTTTACTCGTGGAAAGGAGTTTTGGAGTTTTTGGATACAAACTGAACCGACTGCGTTGGAGACCCACCTGAAATACTGTTAGATCACGGATGAGCTGGTGCCTCGCAGCTCCCGGATTGGGTGTGATCATCTCGGTTATGAACCAGCACATTTAAAAAAAAATAGATTTGAAACCCCCTTATATCTAAATGGCCAGTTTCCTGTCAGACCTTTAAACGTTTATCTGAAGAATAAACAATTGCGACTTTTAAAACAATTTCCGACAATTAAGAGAAATGCACTTCTTTTTGAGCACGATCTAGACTCAGGTTTACGAAGTGAAAGTAATTCTGATTTCTTCACACTAAGAAAAGTCTTTTCAAGGAAGAGACAGTGGCCCGTACGGGGATCAAACACGCGACCTTGGCATTATCAGCACCACACTGAGCTAACCGGCCCCATTCAAGATACACACACACCCTCCGTGACCGTCACTATTAAACACGAGAAATGCTGCAAACCACTCTGACACAGTGATGGAGAAACACCGCCACACAGTCAGAAGCGCTTTAGATTTCTGCGCTTAAAAACTCATGTGAGAAGCGGGCTGTCACAGTCAGCAGGAGCGCAGTGGATTTCTAGTCACGATCACAGGCGAGCAGAGAGCTCCGAGACAAGAGCCTGTCTTTGAACTAATTAGATTAAAGCCAATTAGGTAAAGTTGAGTTCCAGAGCTGCCTGGCTGGTGTTTATCACCCTGCCCAGCCCCTCAGCGACCACAGCATCTTCACCTCTCCTGCTGTGGGTCTGCCATAGGGCTCAGGCTCCCAGTGACGGCAACAGCCCAGGCTGGGCTGTACCAGGAGCTGGAGAGCCACACTTTCCTCCTGGCTAGGAGGCCAGGGGGAGTTTGTTAAGAAAGCCATCGTTGCTTTTTCTGTCAATCTGCATTTTAGAAAAGACATCTTTTCAAAAGAGTTTATCTACGTTCATTCTCTGATTTAGAATACACAGTTCTCTATCCTGATGGTATAGCCAGGAAGGAGCAGGAGCTATGATGTTGTCTGCGGATTATACTATGTCATTTTTGGAATATATGATGTCATTGAATTCATTTTGAAAGGGTTTGATAATATATCGTGATTTTATGCACTAATCTGTATTTCATCCTGATTATTTTACGCTTGTATAATTATAAATGTCAGAGAATCTGTTTGAAATCCTTTATTAGAAGCTGCTGATTCTCCTCTCAGTCTGATTCATATCTTTGATATAATTGTGTCAGCCCAGGCCGGTCCAGAACAGAGACTGGCCCAACTGACAGGAGACACCAGCGTCGAACCCAAGTTCACTCTCGCCCCACACCTGGCTTCTCTTAAGACACAGCTGGACAAGATTCTCCAGTCTGGACAGGAGGCCTTGATTTACACAGAGGATGGTGGGGGTGGGGAACAAGATGCAACTATGTTATCTACCAGCAATGAAACAGGCCTGCTGGGCAGAATGGCCTCAGCGCGTGTTCTTGTGAGGTTTCACTAACATATCAATAACAGCTCCTCTCAGAAATGACATGAGTGCCTTTCTGCCAGTGAATCAGATAAGAGCTTCACATCTCAGCACCATTCCGAGATGAACCGCGCCCATGTCGAAATGCTGTGGGCGATAAGATAACCCGCTGATGATCCCTGTGGTGTAGGGTGTGTGAATAAGGAGGAACAGACTCTCTCTCTCCAGGGCGTTCCCATCTGCTGACAGCAGTGACCTCTAATGCCCCCTTTGTCACCCCCTGAGCTTCACCCCAGAAGGAGAGCTCTCCGGTGCTCCTTGGCCCACGTGAGGAGACCACAGCTGGGAAGGAGACTGGGATAACGGCAAAACTCCTCTGTGTGTGACACAGCCGTGACCTCTCTCTGAGAAACAGGACCCATGAGCCTCCTGCACCTCCTGAGTCTCCTGCCTCCACAGCTCCTCTGTGTCCTGGGGAGGGTCAGTCTTCTGTGTCCAGCAGTAGTTGGGGAGGGTCAGTCCTCAGTGTCCAGCAGTAGTTGGGGAGGGTCAGTCCTCTGTGTCCAGCAGTAGTTGGGGAGGGTCAGTCCTCTGTGTCCAGCAGTAGTTAAGGAGGGTCAGTCCTCTGTGTCCAGCAGTAGTTAAGGAGCATCAGTCCTCTGTGTTCATTGAGTAGTTGGGGAGCGTCAGT